ACAGCAGGAGCCTTGGGGAGCCTACCCTTCCCTCTACCTTGAGCCCCACACAGCAGGAGCCTTGGGGAGCCTACCCTTCCCTCCCACTCTCCTGAGAGCCTTGCTCACCCACACCCTGCTTACCTAGCAACACTGCAAAGTCAGGGAGAAGCTTGGGGACTCGAACATGACAAAAAGAAGGAACAAAAGGCAATCTCAGACCTCTAGCCCAACCCAACACAAGTCCAGGACACAAGGTCATAGAAGACTTGGAAGTGACATACCTGAAATTTCTGAGATGATAGAAACTGAAGTAGAGAAACAACTCTATCAGGTTATGGAGCAAACAAAATCAGAAATAATCTCTTAGGTAATAAAGGAAATGACAACAATCATGGAAGAATTGCACAATACATCGAAGGCAGCATAGATAAAAAAGTAGAAATAGGAAAATGATGAAAACATTGAATGAAGAATACAGGAAAAAATTAGAATGTATGAAACAGATTCAAACAGATATCCAGGACAATAAGAATTCCAATGAAAGCTGGCAAAACCACTTGAACAAAACTGAAGACAAAATTTCACACCTTGAAGATAGCATGGCAGCTAGTAAACAAAAAAAGGAAAGCTCTCTTAAAAATAACAAGGAACCAGGAAATAACAACACAACAGCTGCAAGATGATACAAAGAAAAACAATATAAGACCAATAGGTATTAACGAAACATCTAGAATTAACACAAATGACATAAAAAGACTGTTTACAGATATAGTAGCAGAAAAGTTCCCAAGCATGGGAAAACAAGCTGACATACAGATAAGTAAGGCATATAAACTCCAGTTAACCAAAATCAAGATAAATCTTCACCCAGACACATAATAATCAAGATCCCAGAAATTCAGCAAAAGAACAGAACATTAAAAGCTGTTAGAGAGAAAAAGCAGATTGCCTATAATGGAAAGCCCATCAGAATCACAGCAGATTTCTCAACACAGGCCATCAAATCAAGAAGAGCTTTGAGAAAGATATTTGAGGTCCTGAAAGAAAACAACTTTGAAAAACTATCTAATTTAATGGAGAGATAGGATACTTCCACGACAAAGAACAACTGAAGAAACTCATGACAACCAAACCAACTCTACAAAGCGTACTGACAGATATTTTAGAAAGACACAAAGATGACAACTTCAACAACAACAGAGGAGAACCGCCAAGCAGAGCAAGCAATAAAGAGGGGGAACATGGGGATCCTACAGCAGGAAAACAACATGACAAAGATAAGCCAATACATATTAGTGAAGGCCATCAATGTCAATGGCCCCAATTCACCAATCAAAAGAAGCAGACTAGCAGAGTGGAGCAAGAAACAAAACCCAACAACATGCTGCAAAGAAACACATTTAACTCAAAAATAATGAATACACTGAATGTATGGCAGGCCATAGCTCAGCGATCCCCTGGCATGCAGGCCTTGTCTCCAGGGCACGCTGAGATGGAGATTGAGACTGGGCATGGTGGTGCACCTGTAATCCCAGCTCTTGGGAGGCTAAACACAGGCGGATCACTACAAATGCAATCTACGTAGTGAGACCCTGTAGATCCTGTACTAAAATAAAAAGAAAGAAAGAAAGGAAGGAAGGAAGGAAGGAAGGAAGGAAGGAGGGAAGAAAGAGAACAAATGAACGGTGCAGGTGTCTGAGGAGATAGCTCAGGGGCATAAGCGCCTGCCTGGCAAGTGCAAGGTCCAGAGTTCAATCCCTAGTGCCACATGCCATGCCAGCCCCAAAATTGGGAGTGGTAGCACATGCCTGTAATCCCAGTACTGGGAGGCTGAGACAGAAAAATCACTATGAGTCCTACTGCATAGCAAGACCCTGTAACAAAAAAAAAAAAAGAAAGAAAGTATGATGCAGGCATGGTGGTACACATCTGTAACCCCAATTACGCGGGAGGAGTGCAAATTCAAAACCAGTCTAGGCAACTACATAAGACCCTGTCACAAAATAAAGCCACCATGACCAACACAGGCAGGTTTAGGCATGTATATAGCTCAGTGGTAGAGTGCATGTCTAGCATGCACAAGGCCCTCAGTTCAATCCCCAGTATCAGAAAAATAGAATTTTTTTTAAAAAAATGAAAATAAAGTAGATAAAAAGAAGATATTCAGTGAAAGCCCATTTAGCCACTGTGAAATTTTTTTGAGACAGGGATTGACTGTATAATTCAGGGTTTCCCTGAACTTACTATATGCCCAGATTGACCTTGAACTCCAAGTGCTCCTCCTGCCTCAGCTTCCTGAGTGCTGGGATTATAGACATGTGCCAGGACACCTAAGTCAAAGCTTCTTTAGGTGGACAGATGCAATTTTAGTTCATTGGTTTCAACAGATAAAAAGTAATAATAATGTCCCATCAATGGCCATTATTGGACACTAGGTTATTCTTTAATATTTGCTGTAATAGGGGCCAGGAAGATGGCTCAGTGGACTAAGCGCCTCCCTGGCAAGCGCAAGGGCCTGAGTTCAATCCCTGGTTCCGCAAAAAAAAAAAAAAAAATATTTGCTGTAATAAACAATACTACCACAAATTTATCTCGTATGTATCTCCGTGTGTGTGTGTGTGTGTGTGTGTGTGTGTGTGTGCATATTCTCCCGTGTTAGTATATGCATGGTGTCTCCTATATTACTTTTCACTATACTACTATAAAAACAAATTACCAAATGATATTTTTTAAAAGCTGTTCTCCTTAAGTAAACAGACTTTGTTACTTTATAGAAATGCTCCCATAACTAACAAAAGTGTTAACTGAAGGTAAGCGTAAGGTAACATTTTGTGGGAAAAGATTAAATTTTGTATTGAACTGTTTTATTTTTAATTACCCTGGAGCACACAAAGACACTAGAGTAAAAGCACCACACCTCCTGAATCAGGAGTTACCTGTGTAATATTTTTAGAAGACATAATTGCTTGATTATAGAAGATGCGGCCAAAGTGATCGCGATCTGGAAACGCATCTGCTTGGCGAGGTAAGTTGGCGCCACCTGAGTCAACTGCATGAAAAATGAGAGGAGTAAGGATCTCTACGAATGGAGGGGGAGGAGTGCTGGGAGGGAGGGTAGGGACTGGGAAAAAAATAAGCTTATCAAATTCTCAACGATGAATGTGAACATTATGTGTATCAGAAATGTACCAACAAGGGGCCGGGGAGATGGCTCAGTGGAATAAGTACTTCCCTGGCAAGCACAGGGGCCTGAGTTCAATCTCCGGTTCCGCCCCCCCAAAAAAAGAAATGTACCAATAAAATTTGATTTAAAACTAAGAAGAAAAGAAAAGAACCTCTAGATGAACAGAACACGCTGCACAGTCAGCTCTAGGTATGCAGCAACAACAGTACACTGAGGCAGGAGGAGCGTGTGGAGTTCAAGGCCAGCCTGGGTATATGGTAAGTTCAAGGCTGCCCTGAGCTACACAGTCAATCCTGGTCTCAAAAAATTTCACAGTGGCTAAAGGGCCTTTCACTGAATGTCTTCTTTATATCTATCTTCATTTTCTTTAAAAATTCTTTTATCACTTTCACAAAAAACTTGTCCTAATTCTCTAAACAGTTCTAGAGTCTGTCCAATTTCCCAGTGCAACCACAGGGACTTCATTCTCCCTAAACAACTCAGGCTTTCTACTTCTGTGCAAAATCCTATGTGAATATTTAAAAGATTCTCTCCTTGGAGGACCAGCAAAAGCCACTGTGAAGGGACACTGTGAAGTCTTAACTAGTTGAGCTAAAAAAGTATCTTTTCTCTTCTAAACCAGTACAGAAACTACCTACAATATTCACATGATAGATAAAATCACACACTGCCTTCTCACGCTGGTCTTCCCGCAGATGGCAGTGGTGGGCAAGAGTGCCAGCCAAGCCAGAAGATGCACACTCGCAATCCCAGCATCCTGGGAGGTTGAGGCAAGAGTGTCACAAGTTGGGGCCCAGTCTGGGTATCTTAGTGACTGAATGAGACCTTGTCTTAAAAGTTAAAAAAACAGAGCTATAAGTAAGTGGCACAGTGTGAAGGCCCTGGGTTCCACCTGCAGTACTGCAAAACCAAAACAGAACAGTGCCAGCCAAATGCAAAACAGAAATTGGTCCTTCAGAACTGCATGATTCAATGCTGACGTGACCATCACCCTCATTTGCGACTGAGGACAGGCCCTGCAGAAAACAAGTCCTATCTGGCCACCAAGCCCTCGCATCTAGGATTTCTACTTCGCCTGCCCTGGAGCTGCCTGCAGGAAGAACCAGAGGCATCAGCTGCCCTGAACTGCTTCTAACAAAGACCTGAGCACCAAGGGGCCCAGAACTCACCGTCGCTTCAGCCACACCTGGGTCCATCAGTGACCTCTGCCACAGCCTGGGAGAGACTCAGGGAGACCTTGGACCTTTGGGGAATTGATCTTACTCCCTCAGGGGACTCTTGGGCTTAGGACCACATGCTACTCTCAAGTCTTGTGGTCACCTCATTTGCAAGGAGAAGGCAGAGCCTTTGGGGAGCCTTCTATAGGCATCCCAGCTATATTTCTATGGCAGAGGTTCTTAGGGACCCAGTTCTCCCACCAGGGCCCTGGAGGGAAAGGAGACACTGGCTCCAGGTTGTGCAACCCTGAGCTCACGGGTGCCTGCCTATTCAGGCGCTTGGCACAGGGCACTGTGGGCATGCAGGGAAAGGCAGCACCACTCAAGAGCCCTTTGTAAATTATTTTTAAGAAATCCACTTTGCCGTTTATAAAGAAGGCTGTGTGCCCATTTCCTAAATCATATTGCTTTTTCATAATAAAGACTTACTCCACCAAAAAAAGAAAAGAGCTGCATGATTGCAAGTGTGTCCTGCCATTCTATACTTCAGTTTCTTTACTCATGAAATGAAGAAAACAACAGAAGGTATTCAACAGAGCCGCTATCAGGATGACAAAAATAATGTATGGAATGGCTGAGTACATATAGCAAATAAAAAAAAAGCTACCTAGTCCTGTACCTGTTGATACTGCCTGCGACCATGAAGCCTCGAATTGCTCTGCACCGAGTCACTAACACTGAGCTCCCTGGGCTCACTGGATCAAAGATGCCGTCCAGCCTCCCCACTGTGTCCCAGAGAGGCCAGCACAGCCTCTGCCTGTAGCTAGGGTCACCTGCTGCTGCATCTCACACTGTATAGGGCCAGTTAAATTCACCTTCGTGGGGGAAAAACTCTGCCTCACTACCTGTTCAGATGCTTAGATAAATGAATGGCACACCTTGGAGTTTGAGAAGACTAAACCAGTGTACCCACTTGTCTGTTTGTTTGTTTTTTGCGGCACTGAGAATTGAACTCAGGGCCCTGTCTATTCTCTTTCAGGTTCTTATTGAAACATTCCTGATTTAAATGTATTCTCATTTCAACGGTTTACTTTCACCGGACATACTTTAAATATCTGCTCAAATGATGCAATGCTTCAGCATTTCACACACTCTCCTGGACACTCAAGAGATTCATAACTAGTAGTCCATTTTTAATAACTTCAACCCTCTATGGTTAACAGAAAAAAAAAAAATATATATATATATATAATATAATATATTATATATATAGGAAAAAACCTATGTGAACAGAAAAAAAATGCTGCGTGTGAATATATTAGTGGAGATCATTCCTCAACAACAGCTTCACGCACAGTTTTAGTTTCTCCCCAAAAAGTCTGCAACAAGGAACACGCACTTCCTCTCTAATCGTTGGAGAATCGGCAGCTTTCTGAAATACGTGCTGGCGATGCCACGCAGGCACTGGGACACGGTGCGAGCCCATGTCTCAGCTCTGAGGCTTACCCAGGTAGATGCAGGGGAGCCGGTTCTGCAGTGCAATTTCTTGTGCCCGGAGGTGTTTTTTCACAGTCACAGGGTAGTAGGTGCCTCCTTTGACAGTGGCATCATTGGCAACAATCATGCATTCTACTCTGAAAGGCAGAAATGGCATTGGAAAGAAAATAGAGATTTCATAATCACAGAACAATTTCAGCTCATCACAAGACACAAGACACTCCAAAATGCCCTTAAGGGGCTCAGCACAGTGCCTGCCTGGCAAGAGGTCCTGAGTTCGATTCATAGTACCCAAAAAAATCCTTTAACCTCTAGTACAGATCACTCCTGACACTCAGTAATACAGAATCTTAAGATATAAACCAAGATTTAGTTTATTTTTACAATGTAAAATGCCGCCTTTTTGTTGTTTGCATGTTTGTTTGGTTTTGGTGGTACTGGGATTTGGGGTTTTTGTTTGGTTGTTTTTTGGGGGGTCTTTTGCTGTGGTTTTTTGTTTGTTTGTTTTTGTTTTTTGTATTTTTAGGACAGGGTCTACAGGGTCTCACTGCATAGATCGGACTCACAGTGATCCTCCTGCTTACAGTCTCCCAAGAGCTGGGATTACAGGCATGCGCCACCATGCCCAGTCTCAATCACCATCCTAGTGCGCCCCAGGGGCGGGGCCTGCACAGCAGGCCCTGGGGATCAAATTCCTGGCCCCTGCAGCTGCCTAAGCAGGCGCTTTAATCTGCTGAGCTATTTGGCTGGGCCTGGTACTGGGATTTGAAGCAAGGCCTCCACACCAAGTTATACACCCATTCCTCTTTTGTTTTGAGACAGGGTTTCATTAAGTCATTAAACTGCCCAGGCTGTGCTGGTGAGATGGCTTAGTGGTCTAAAGCACCTACTTAAAACAAGCTTAGCAAAGCCCAGGGACCACAGTTCAATCCCTCAGCACCACATGCCAGCCAGCCCGCCCCCTGGTGGGCTGAGATGGCCACACACACACACACACACACACACACACACAAATAAATAAAATTTTAAAAAAATAAAAATAAAATAAACTGCCCAGGCTGGGCTTGAACTTGCAATCCTTCTGCCTCAGCCTCACAGAGTATTGGGATTATAGGGGTGTTCCATCATGTCTGGATGAAAATGATTACAAATTTAACAAATTTATAAAACCATACAGTAAATGAATTTAAATACTCATCAGTTCTGTATTTGTAGTGAAAAACTAACTATGTAAGTGATAGAATGGTTCTTCAGACAAAAAGGTCTAACAAGATGATGGCCTCAAATTTGTAGTGTTTTTCCTGCCTCAGCCTCCTGAGTCCTGGGATTACTGGTATATGCTATCAACAATCAAGATGATAACACAGAAAGGGAGGGAGAGAGTCTAAAGGGGGAGGAGCTGCCTCACAATAGACTTTCAAAGTTCCTTTTAGGAAAGTAATTTGCAAAACTGGAAACAGACTTGCCAAGTGTACTGCCATTTATTTTTGTGTTTTAGAGTTCTTCAGTTACTGCCATCTGCTTTTCCCAATTTTTTTTTTTTTTTTTTTTTTTTAAGGAAGGAAAGGTTTATTTAGCTCACAGTTACTAGAAGCTTCATTCCATACTTATCTGGCCCCAAGGCAGAGCAGCACATGGCAGAGAACAACCTTTCATGGTGGTGCCAAAAATTTTTTTTTCTAAAGAAAGTCTAAAATACAATATTTATCTTGCTTAAAGACACAGAGATGCAAACTTGAAAAGAGTAGATGGAAAACGTATGAAAGGGGAACAGACCTGAGAATATGCTTGTCTAGCAAGCACCCAGGTGAGGCTGGCACTGCCTGGGGCCACAGCTGGAGCCTCGGCACTGCTCTAAGACAGGGCTCCCACCTGGCAGGCGCACAGATCAACTGCGGGACCAGAGAACAATCTCCGTGGCAGGCCCACACGGGGAGAGCTGAGCAGTGCCAAGACGTGGATGTAGGCCGGGGAGACAGCTCAGCGGTCCAAGTGGGTGCACCAAACCGGCCACTGAGACTGAGCATGACCGCACACCTGTGTAATCCCAGCACTGGGGAGGCCGAAACAAGAGGAAAACTACAAGTCCAAGCTGCATAGTGAGACCGTGTACCAAACACATAAATTAAAAAAAAAAAAAAAAAAAAATTGTGAATGTGATCCCAGAGATCTTTCCAGGGTTTTTCCTTTTGATTTTTGTCTGAAAGACTCCACAAATGAAGCTGAATGTAGCTAGTGGTCCATGTCTGTAATCCCAGCACCCTCAGCGGCTAAGGCAGAAGGATTGCAAGTTCAAGCCCAACCTGAGCAACATGGCAACTATCTTAAAATTTTAAAAGGCTGGGGCTCCAGTTCAGGGAAAAGCCCTGACATTAACCCACAGAACAGGAGAGAAACAAAAGCTCCACAGATGAGTCTCGCGCAGGCTGCAGGGGAGACGTGGGTCCCAAATAGCATCGTGAGCAGGAACGGATGCCGCACACCTGCCTCCCACCCAGCCTTCACTCCAACCCTCGCGTATGCACAAGAGAAGACGCACCCTGACACCCTTCCAATGCCAGTGATGATGCCGCCTGCAGGGACGTCCTCCTCACCGTACAGCTGATATCCTGCAAACTGGGAAAACTCCAGAAACGGAGACCTGGGGGGAGAGGAGAGCATCAGAACCAGAGTCCTCCCAAACATGCACACACTTAAACAGTTACATAAGGGAAGGGAAAGGGTTTGAAAGGAGGCAAAATCTCAAATATGCACATTGTACACAAAACCTATAAAACTAAACAAAATTGGATGCCAATGTCTTGAGAATTTATACAGCGTATCCACAGGACAAAATGCCAGGTACTTATTGTAAAGTGCTACACAAATGTGTTTTATTATCCTAGAGAGAGAAACACAACCAACACTATGTGGCTCTTACCTGTGCCAGCTCTCCTCTCCTGTAGGCGCTTCCTAAAAACTAACGCGCTGGGCCTCAGAACCACCTCAGGAGGCGGATCCTACCAACCGCCACTCACTGATGAGGGAAGCAAAGCACGGACATGAAGTCACTTGCACAAGGTAACACAACTCGTAAGGCAGGGCTCGTATTCTTTCTTAGAACTGTTGCTTTCAGTGCTGATGACTGAACCCAGGGCCTTCACTTCTCTAATTTTAAGACTAGGTCTCACTAAGATGCCCAGGCTGGACTCAAACATGCCGCGGATTCAAACATGGCAGTTGTGGTGGCCCACACCTGTAATCCCAGCACTGGATAGCGGAGTGCTGCGTCAAGAGGATTACTGAGATCCTGTCTCAAAAAACCAAATAGGGCCGGGAAGATAGCTCAGTGGTCTAAGCATCTACCTGGCAAGTGCAAGGTCCTAAATTCAATCCCTGGTACCAAAAAACAAACCAACCTTGCTGTCCTCTTGTCTCAGCCTACCTATAATCCCAGGGTGCTGAGATTTCAAATCGATGCCACCATACCCATGGAAGCTGGGATTTTACTAAGCAACATGGTGCCAGGGATCCAGCTCTTCACCACCAACTTGCTGTTCCGTCTATATCCAAGACACCGTGAGAAAGGAAAGGGCTCTAATGCTCCACAGCTAGCATCACCCACTGAGCATTTAGAACATGCACGTGCCTCAGACACATATGCACACTACTAGGCCATCAGGGACACTAGCGCTGGCAGCATGGCACCCAGCTCAGAAGTGCGGGGCCACTCCAAGGGGAAAACACTTGTGGAGCAGTCATGTGCCCCTCAAACCCCCACCCAGTCCTTCAGGAGACCCCATCAGGCCAGCTATCCACATAACACTTGGACCCCACTGCCCGACCCAGCTGCTCTCGGAGCTCCCCCAACCCCCAGCCAGCTCGGTCTCTGCTAAAGCACATTCGTCGCCCATCAGTCCCCACAGGCAAGGCCTGGAGAATGGAGTTGTTCAGTGACTTTGCCCTTCCACAAACTCCACAGTTATGCAGGCACTATGCACTAGAACCTCACAGGACCACCATCATCAACATCAACACAGCAGGTGACCGTGGAGGCAGACAAGCCACAGACAGCTCCGCTCACAGCCCCACAGCGGCCTCCATTCCTCTTTTACAGGCCCCGAGGTCCTCTGTCATCTCTGCTCGCTGCCTCCCTCTAGTGCACTGCCCTGCTGCGGCCTGAGCAGAGTCAGAGTACCCAGGCCTTCTCCCGTGGACCACAGGGCCTTTCCACTGGCCGTTTGCTCTGCAGCAACATTTATTTACAGGGCTCTCTTCCACCTCTGCTAACAGGTCCCCCCTCAGTGAGGCCTCTCCTAGGAGGGCAACAGGCCATCCTCACCCTTTCCCTTGCCCTAGCCGACCCCCTCTATCCCCACAACGTTTTTCATCTTCCAACATGCCAAGGAACTGAAGATGTTGCCTCCTGGCCTCCCTTGCTGCAGTGTAAACTCCAGCAGGATGGAGGTCTTTGTTCTGTTCACTGTGTGACCCTGGTGCCTGAAACAGCACCTGACAGGCAGGCATGCTGGATGTAGCTGCTGTTTCAATCTTCTTCTTCTTTTTTTTTTTTCATTTATGTATTTGGTCCAGGGTCTCACTCCACAGCTCACACTCATAGTGATCCTCTTGCTTTCAGCCTCCCCAATGCTGGATTTACAGGCATTCAGTTGCCAGCTCAGCATGTCCTCGGGATGGGGCCAGAGCAGCATGCAGGACCAGGGAATCAAACCCTGGTCCCTGAGCCTGCCAAAGCAGGCGCTTAATCCACTGAGCTATCTTGCCGGCCCTGCTATTTTAATCTTACAACAACCAGAACTCAAAACTACAACTACAACACCATCTAATAATCAGTACCACAGAATGGAGAACACTGAGGTAGCACTTGGAGCAGTACCAACCCTGGGTCGATAAGGTTGTCGATTCTTTCTCTAGGCAACAGTTTTCCTCTTGATGTATGAAGCGCCCGGGCTTTTTCACTGCCTCCTATGAGAAAAACAGTTACTTCAGGTTGGTTTTTTATTTATTTTTGGTACTGGGGATCAAACTCAGGACCTTGTGCTTGCCAGGCAGGCACTTATACCACTGAGCTATTTCCCCAGCCCCAGGTTGGATGAATATGACATGAGGCATCCATCTAACTTAATTCCAGAAAAACACAAAATACTCAATCCAAATTATAGCACTTTTCAATAGCTCATGGTGGCTGGCCACAGTGGCAATATCTATGATCCCAGCACTCTGGGAGGCTTAGGCCGGAGGAGTGCAAGTTCCAGCCCAGCCGGGGCAATCTAGTAACTTAGCAAGGCTCTGTCGCAAAATAAAAAATACATAAAGGACTGGAGATATAGGTCAGTGTAAAAGCCTAGGGTTCAATCTCCAGTACCACAAGGAAAAAAGAAAAGTTCAATTTATCTTCAACAGCTCATTTTTCACATCATTCACCCATCTCACCAGCTACCAATTTTCTGAAGAAAATAAATTGTTTTTTAAACAAATCAATCTATCCCTGATTCTCAGACATATTATGCGTGTTCTGGGTTCAGTACAGAAATTATTCAGTATTTTTTCCACAGCTCATATACTACAAATACTGCCTTGCTGCCCCTCCGCCCAGCAAGCAGCCACCGCACGTGACCAGCACCGCGCCACATGCCGTATGAAGTGCCAAGCTCCCAGTCTTCCTCTGGACCAGGTCAAAGTATAAGTTTAGAAATGACTTCTGTGACAGGCAAAATGAGGCACTGTGAAGGCTGCACCATGACCCCGAACCTTCGGATCAGCAAGTGGCCAAGCTGAGCACCCTTCACAGCAGTCGGGACACCCACCAGTACCTTCAGCACCCCTAACATCACTCACACAGTGACAGCCAAAGACAGTCACTGAAGAGATGCGGAGGTGACCCCACCGGCTGCCCTGGGTCAAAAGTTGCTGAAAACCTCAGAGCTCAGCCTGTGACCAGAGCTCCAGAACCAGGGCCAGCCACAGCCCACTCTCGGCCAGCGAAAGTGGCACCCGGGAAGAGAAGGATGGATGCTAAGTGTTTATTTTCACTCTAGCCCATGATTTATCTTTGTCTAATGAAACCTTCAGCTACTTAAAGTCATGCCAACGGAATGGAACTTGAAGGGCTGGCCAAATAGCTCAGTGGAGGAATGCATCTGCATAGGCACTATGCAGTGACTGGGGTTCGATCCTCACTGTGGCCTGCCAGACCCACCCCTGGGGCACAATGAGATGGCAACTGAGACTGGGCGTGGTGGTATGTGCCTGTAATCCCAGCTCTTGGGAGGCTATAAACAGGCGGATCTACTATGAGTCTGATCTAGTACTGAGACCCTGAACACCCTGTAGACCCTTCCCTAAAAATACAAAAAAAGAAAGAGAAAATCGGGCTGGAGAGATAGTTCAGCAGAATAAGCGCTTGCCTGGCATGTGCAAGGTCCTGAGTTCAATCCCTGGCACCACAAAAAAAAAAATAAATAAAATAAAAAAATAAAGAAAGGAATGCAACTTGATGGGCGTAGAATCAGAGTGGATTTCTCTATAACAAACAAAAAGATCCCATACCCAACACCAGGAATTTACATGGGGAGACCTACCCATGGCAGTTCTCACCGGCGGGACTACTATGACAGAGGATACGACCATGGCGATGATGATTGGGACTACTACAGCAGATCATACAGAGGAGGAGGTGGATGGAGAGCTGCTCAGGACAGAGATCAATACAGAAGGCAGTCACCTACTTATTACAGTCATGGAGGGTACAGATCCCACTCTCAATCCTACTCACCTCCGTCACTATTAAAACATGAAGATGAAGACTTTCTGAAACCTGCCATAGCACTTTCACACCTTTTGTGATAACTGCTTTTGGTGGAGCTGAAATGCTGTTTTCATTCTGTATTTGTGTAGTTCGGTGCTTTGTTCAAAGTTAAGTGTTTTCGGAGAAGTATATTTTGCATGTATATTTGTATATTGTTAAATTTTGACTGCTGAGAAGCTTCTATTATACAAAAATTTAATTTAAAAGGTTTTTCTACTGAATCCAGGGTAATCTAAAGATTGAAGTCTATGTGTAAAAATGCTACCAAATGGCAAAAAGCAACAATAAAGTTGGAATTTTTTTTTTTCAAAAAAAAAGTTTTCAGTCTTCATTTTGAAAGTAGGAGCCTTAGTTTTGAGTTACATGGCCTCCCCAGTGAAAATGCCATATAGTCCCATAATGGTATAGCACAATTGTCACACTAGGCAGGGGTGTTCCTCTAATGCAATTTCTTCATGAAAAAGAGTGCCTTTTGTGTCCACATAAAAAATCCAAGTTCAGCTGTGCAGCACCTGCCTAGGAAGCACAAGGCCCAAAGTTCGATTCCCGGTACCAAAAAAGAAAATAGGTTTTTTTTTTTGCAGAACTGGAGATTGAACTCAGGCCCTTGCACTTCTCAGGGAAGCGCTTAATCCACTGAGCCATCTCCCCGGCCCAGAAAATAGTTTTTAAAAAAAGATCCAAAAAGTCCCTTTGGAAAAAACTCCAAGCCTGCCCTGGATAACTTACAGTATCTCAAAATAAATTACATAAATGAGGCGTGGTGGCTCATGCCTGTGACCCCCAGCACTCAGGGGGCTGACACAAAGGATCATGTCAAGGTGATGTAGTGAGTTCAAGGCCATCTTAGACTACATTGGGAGACCCTGCCTCAGAAAAACAAAACATGAAACATAGAAAGGGACACCAAAAGGAGGAAGAGGAAGAAGAAAAAGAAAAGAAATGGGGCTGGCTGCAGCTCAGAGGCACAGTGCTTGCTAGCATGCATGAAGCCCCGAGGTCCAGCCCCAGCATAACAGCTAAAAGAAAGCAAAGCCACGCAGGCAAGTGGGCCATCTGCCAAGTTTTAAGGAAACTGCATTTACTTAATCAGCAATAAATCCATTAGAAATTAATTTAGTAGGCAGTCTAATTATGACTAATAAACTTGAAATATTTTATTCTAAGAGGAAAAATTTTCAGTATACTGCTCTGAAATAAGCCCCTAAAAAAACAGTAGTTAAGCACTGAATTTGGATGATCTGGAAGCGGAGACCCCACTTCCACAGCTCGACCGGCTGCCCCCACTTCCACATCCTTGGCTTCCTCCCTCCAAGGCTGGAAAGGACTCGAGTTCGTACTTGGCAGCAAAGGACTGTCCTGTCGTCGTTCTCTACCCAGGAGTGAAGCAGGGACTCAGAGCTCGTCCCCGCCGCACCAGGTGTAATGTGTAACGCCCACGCATGCAGGATGTGGCGGCCACAGGGCAGCACTGCCAGGGTTTCCATAAGCAACGTGAGCACCCGTGGGGGTCGAGCGCCTGTGGGGGAGTCTCGAAACCACTGCCCACTGACATATTCCTTCCCCGTAAACACCTGCATTCCAGCCGACGCAGACACTCAAGAGTTACGGCTTCTTGCTCCCAGTCTTTCCGGAAACCACAAAGCGTCAGCACACAGCCATGCTGGTAACCTCTCAGCGAAGCCACAGGGGTGTGCTTACCTCGTCGGACCTGCTCCACGCGGTCTCGGAGCTGACCCACCAGTGCCTTCATCTGCTCGTAGTTCTCCTACAGCAGAAATAGGACAAGGGAGACAGGAATATTAGACAGCACGGATAGCCACGGAGCAAGGATCGGGAAGCTCCACTGTGCCAGCCCTCTAGGACCTCCCGGGCTGGGAAGACGAATCCCACCCGTCGCTTGCTTGTATACTTGGCCCTCCAGCCTCCTGGCTCCTACAGCCCAGTCCTCACCTCCCAGCCTCTCTACTTTTGGGAACTCCTACCCATTTTAACACCTTTCTTCTTTTAACATCTGCTGAGCCTGACCTCTATTTTCCCCCCTATTTTAGGGAATATAAGCTTTTTGAGGATTAGAATGTCATGTATGTTTCCTAAAACTCCAACCAGCACAGACATATTTGTTTACTCACAACTGAAACTCAAAACCAAAGCCCAGTGGGGAAATACAGTCTATTTCATGTTTAAAAAAAAAAATAACTAAAGCCAGGCATAGAGCTTAGCAGCCGAGCACCTGCCTGTCAGCTCAAGGTCATGAGTTTGATTCCCAGTACCAAACAAAACAACAGAATTTTAATAAATTTAAAAAAAAAAAAAACTAAAGCCAAGCATGGTGGCAAACACCTGTAAATCCCAGCATCTGGGAGGCTATGTCAGGAGAATCACAAGTTCGAGCCCTGCGTGGGCAACTTAGTGACTTAGCATGACTTTGTCTCAAATTAAGGCATAAAGGAAAAAAAAAAAGGCATAAAGGGGTGAGGATGGAGCTCAGTGTGAAAACCCCAGGTTCAATCCCAGTATCACACACACCAAAAAGAGAGATCTATACTTGCTTGTGTTTGAAAATTCCTTTTTTTTTTTTTTTTTTTTTTTTTTTTTTTTTTGACACAGTCTCACTCTTATGTTCAGGAAGGCCTTAAACTCACTATGTAGCCCTGGCTGGCTCTGAATTTGCAATTCTCCTGCTTCAGCCTCCTGAGTCCTGGGATCACAGGTGTGTGCCACCATACCTGGCAGAGGCTTGGAAATTTTCTAAATAATACATGAAAAAATATAAATGGTGAGAAATTTTTTTAAAAAGGTAGAGGGGAGAGCCAGCCAAACAGCTCAGCGGATTAAAGCACCTACAAGCAGGTGCAGAGGCCAGGAGTTCAATCCCAGGGCCTGCCATACCAGCCCCGCCCCTGGGGCAAACTGAGACAGCAATTGAGACTGGGTGTGGTGGTGCACACCTGTAATCCCAGCTCTCGGGAGGCTGTAAACAGGAGAATCGCTATGAGTCCGATCTAGTAGTGAGGTCCTGAACACCCTATAGACCCTTCCCTAAAATATAAATAAATGAATAAACAAACAAACAAATAACATTTTACAAAGAAGGTAGAGGGGATTTACTTCTTTTTTTTTTTTTTTTTAATGTGTGTGTGGCCAACTCAGCCCACCAGGGGGCAGGGCTGGTTGGCATGTGGTGCTGTGGG